CTGGATAACCAGAAGGGATAGCACTCATTTCTGGAAGGCATGGGTGTCTGGAGTCAGGCAGACCTAATTTGAGTTTCTGCTCAGGCATTATCTTGCTGAGCCTTGGTTTACTCATCTTCAAAACCGGGATAGTAATATTCACATAACAGGATTTTTTTTTTTTTTTTAGGATCCGATGAGATTAATAATATGCATAAAATGTTTGGCACAGTTTATGGTAGGCAAGAAGTGCTCAATAAGTGTCAGCAACTGGGGCGCCTGGCTGGCTCAGTTGGAAGAGCATGCAACTCTTGATCTCGGGGTTGTGAGTTCGAGCCCCACATGGGATGTAGAGTACTTAAATAAATAAAACTTAAAAAATAATAGTAAATGTTAACAATTATAATTGGATTATGACTGCTGCCTCAGAAGGAATGCCACAACGAACAGTGCATGGAAAGTATTAAAAAGAGATTCAGGGGAGGGTATGTGCTATGGTGAGCGCTGTGAATTGTGCAAGACTGTTGAATCACAGATCTGTACCTTTGAAACAAATAATGCAATATACGTTAAGAAAAAAAAAAAAAGGAAGAAGATAGCAGGAGGGGAAGAATGAAGGGGGGGGAATCGGAGGGGGAGATGAACCATGAGAGACGATGGACTCTGAAAAACAAACTGAGGGTTCTAGAGGGGGGGGGGGTGGGAAGATGGGTTAGCCTGGTGATGGGTATTAAAGAGGGCACGTTCTGCATGGAGCACTGGGTGTTATGCACAAACAATGAATCATGGAACACTACATCAAAAACTAATGATGTAATGTATGGTGATTAACATAACAATAAAAAATTTTTAAAAAGATATTTTATATTAGGAAAAAAAAAAGATTCAAACTTTGATTGATTGCATCCCTGCGTGTTCTTTTTATTTCCGCCTGTGTGCGTGTATGTGTGTGCGCGCAAGCACACTCTTAAGCATGGCTAATGACAGCGATGACGTGATGAGAATTGGATGAGTGGCAGGATCAATGCAGTCTTTACAACAACTGAAAACACCCTGAAGCAAGTTCGCCTTCAGGAGGCCACGCCCACCTGGGGCCGCCTCCGGGCAGCTCTCTGCAGCCAGTTCAGCAGGCCTCCTAGAGAGGGAAGTGCCGTCTTGCTCATCTTGCTCCGAAGTAAGTGGCTCCCTTGTAACAGGCACTCGACCAGGACCAGCGTAGGATGTGTCCCCGACACCTGCACTTCCCACTGGGCTGCATGTCCTTGCAGATTGGCCTTGCATAAAGTGCCGGAGAGGCCCTTTATGCCCCTCTTTCTTCCACTCGAGGGACAGTCGCTAGAATGTTCCTCCGCATCTCACCTGGAGTACTGCACACCTTTCCTCCCAGACCTGCTTGACTGCAGCCTCTGAATGGTTTGGAACTGCCACATCACAGTCACACCCAGAGATGACACACCCCTGTCTGCTCAGACCACTCCCCTGCCCAGAACCTTTCACAGGATCCATATCCCTCTCCGGGGAGAGTCCTCGCTGCTTTGCACAGTGACAGACTTTTCTGAGTTGGCCTCAACTTGCCTCTTCAGCCCTTGTATCGGCGGGCTGGTCATGCTCTAATGAGCTGTGCACACATGTATGTATCCCACTCCCTAAAAAAGACCAATTTAAGACCTATATGAAATAAACAATTTTCCAGGAAAGCGTAAATTTTCAAATCTTATAAGAGATTAAAGTCTAAATAAACCAAATATATAGTTTTGAAAGAGCTACCATCCCCTCCATGGAAAAAAAAAAAGCCATAAAATTTCTAGAGGAATTTTGATCAAACTATTAAAGAACAGATATTCCTTACAGGGGAGGATCTGGCAGATACCACATTCATCAAGTGATGGAAGTTACCATGACTTGTAAGAAGCAAACATTTATGTGTCTCCTGACATAATATACTAAAAAGGACATAACCGTACCTCTGTGGTATTTCTGACACAAACTGGGTAATTTGAATCTAGTCATGAGGAATTATCAGACAAACTCCAGTTGAGGATATTACACAAAATAAATAGCCTGCACACCTCAAAATGTCAAGATTATTGAAAACAAAGACTGAGGAATTGCTCCAGGTGAAAAGAGTTTGAGGAGACTTGACAACTAGATGCATGTGTGATGCTGGATTGGGAGCTAACTAGGAAACAGTATTTCTGTGAAAGGCACTATTGAGAAAAACTGGTAAAACTTGAATAAGGCCTGCGGATTAGATGTTAGCAATGGATCAGTGGTAATTTCCTGGTTTTGATAATTGTATCCTGATTACCTTGTGTTTAGAAAACACACACCAAAGTACCTAGGGCTATAGGGATATATCTATAATTTACTCTCAAAGATTCAGAAAAACTGATATATACATTTAGGGAATCTGGGTACATGGTAAATTCATACATTTTTTTTTACAACCTTTCTATAAATCTGTAAATCTTTTTTTTATTATTTAAAGATTTTTATTTATTTATTTGACAGAGAGAGAGAGAGACAGTGAGAGAGGGAACACAAGCAGGGGGAGTGGGAGAGGAAGAAGCAGGCTCCCCGCTGAGCAGGGAGCCCCATGCAGGGCTAAATCCCAGGCCCCTGGGATCATGACCTGAGCAGAAGGCAGACGCTTAACGACTGAGCCACCCAGGCGCCCCTAAATCTGTAATTCTTTAAAACAAAATGCTACAGAAAACAAAATGCTACATAAATAATGGATTATTCTGTTTTATTCCTACTAATCTAGACCAAATAAAAAGCATCCTATTTTCTATTTTTTTTTACACAGTAACAATAACATCAGTAAGTCTAATAAAAATTGAGACAAAAAGAAAAGTGTAGATTAATGGCACACGTGAACACTAATACAAAATTCTAAATAAAGTATTAGAAACCATACTGCAGCATCCAGTTAAAAGTGAAAGACTTAAAAAAAAAAAACTCTCACAAATGAAAGAAAACATAAACAATATGATAGGAGCAAGGAGGGGTCATTTCAGGAACTCAAGGGTGATTTTATCTCAGAAATTGATTAAATTAATGATTTAAATAGAAAAATCATGTGATCACTGATGTAGAAATGTTGGGGTTCCGAGCTGATGGCCAAGAAAAGACCCTTGCGACATCTTCAGTGCAAAAAGGTGGTTTTATTAAAGCACGGGGACAGGACCCACGCTCAGAAAGAGTGGCCCTGGGGTTGTGACAGGTGACTGATTATATACTTTCAAGTTGGGAGGGGGTTCGGGATAGCATAAGTCTCTAAGGAATTTGGAGCAAGGTTTTCAGGGCCTTAAGGGGCCTAGCTATTATAAGGAAAAGGTCATTTATTACTGTCTAATAAAATCTGAGTCATGAGACCCTGCAGATGTATATGGTGGGCCATATGCTTGGAGGATGATTGCTAACATGTATCTTGTGGGGTAGAGATAAAGGAAGTTTCCAAAGGAATTTTCATATGTTAACGTAGACTTACAGGATCCTGGGGGATCGGGATAACGTTAAGCTAAGATTGCCTTTCACCCTTAGCAAAGTGTCAACATCGAGGCAGCTGGGCTCCCAGAGGAAGGTCACTGTAGCTGTTTCAAGGACTTTTCAAAGGGCTGTAGGCAGTAAGGACATATAATTTTTTCTTTTGCTTTCGTTTCCCACATCAGTTACTTCTATGACAGCTGAAAGGCGTTTGCCACAAGTTAGTGCTTCATAATAAAATAGGAATAAATTGATTCTTCCTTAACATGATAAAATATATTTAACTCAGCCCCCAAGCCAGCATGGTGCTGAATGGGGAACCCTGGCAGCTTTCCAATGTAAGTGGAAGGGAAGGCTGCTCATTCACTGAGGGTTGACTGCACAAAAGATTTAATTTGTCTCCATTTTATTGAATTCAACTGTGTTCTTTATCATCTCCTTTCTTCTACTTCATTTGGGTTTGATTTGCTCTTCTTTTTCTAACTTCTTGTGATGGATTCTTAGATGATTGTTTTTCAAACTTTCTTCTGTTTAAATATATGCATTTAAAGGTATATATTTCCTTCTGAGCAGTCTTGGCTGTGACTCACAACCAACTAATATGTGGCTCATAACAGAGTAATATTTTCATTAGCATTTAGCTCAAGATGATTTCTTATTTCAATATGCTGTAAAGTAAAATAAAATGCCTAAGATATATTTGTACAAGTTTGGATTTCTTGTTTTAAGTGAACAATTTCCACTGCCTACTGCTTTGAATGAGGAAGGAAACTTGAGCACCTCTCTGTCAGTAACTGATAGAATAACCAAAGCACAAGCTGGGGCCACTTGTAAACTATTATTGGAACACAGGCCCACCATTTGTTTACCTATTGTCCCTGGCTACTTTTGTGTCATAATGGCTGGGATGAGTCGTTGTGACAGAAACCATGTGGCCTGCAAAGTCTAAAATATTTACTATCTGGCTCTTTATCAAAACAGTTCGTCGGGGCGCCTGGGTGGCTCAGTTGGTTAAGTGACTGCCTTCGGCTCAGGTCATGATCCTGGAGTCCCAGGATCGAGTCCCGCATCGGGCTCCCTGCTCGGCAGGGAGTCTGCTTCTCCCTCTGACCCTTCTCCCTCTCATGCTCTCTGTCTCTCATTCTCTCTCTCTCAAATAAATAAATAAAATCTTTAAAAAAAAAAAAAAACTGTTCGTGGACTCCTGCTATAGATCTTGAGCTACATAGGGCAAAGTTCTGGTCTCCTGGAACCTGGCCCCCAGCCTAATGAATAGTATAGTCAGTGAGTGTTGGGGGATGAATAACTGAGTGGGTAAATTAATGAATGCAAGGCAAGCTCATTTGGTAGAGGGTGGGCCCACACGGTGGGAAAACCAGCAAGTCATTGACTTTCCTACGAAAGTGCAGGCCACAGCTTAAGTTCAAATCCAGCCAAGCTCCCTTCCCCTCCCATTCCTGCCCTCATTTCTGCCATGCCATATTTTGATTAAGATGTAACCTTTTCGTCCACGTGCAAAAGCACTGGACTCGTGTAGTCTGGGATGCCGCAGAGTCCTGAGCCAGGGAGCCGAGCTCTCGCCATGAAGCCAGGTTTCAGCCCCCGTGGGGGAGGCTTCGGTGGCCGAGGGGTTTTGGTGACTGTGGTGGTTGTGGTGGTGGCCGAGGAGGCTTTGGCAGGGGCAGAGGTCGTGGTGACGGCTTTAGGGGCCGAGGCCGAGGAGGAGGACGAGGTGGTGGAGGTTTCCAGTCTGGTGGCAACCGGGGTCGTGGTCGGGGAGGGAAAAGAGGAAACCAGTCGGGGGAGAATGTGATGGTGGAACCTCATCTGCATGAAGGTGTCTTCATTTGTCGAGGAAAGGAAGATGCACTTGTCACCAGGAATCTGGTCCCTGGAGAATCAGTTTATGGAGAGAAGAGAGTCTCAATTGTGGAGGGAGACGACAAAATCGAGTACCGTGCCTGGAACCCCTTCCGCTCCAAGCTGGCAGCAGAGGCCGTGGAGTCAATGCAGTTGGCCTTAATAGAAATCACAAAGTGTCCTCCATTACGAAGGACAGTGTGGGTGTTCAGGGCTACGATCCGGGTCTGGTCTGGCTGGGCCACGTTGGCAAAGATCACATCCACCATTGCAATGAGCATGCAGTATTTGTGTGGGTGCCGAGCATCTTCAATAACAGGAATAATGTTGGTCCTCTTCTTGGCCAAGTTAATGAGGTCACGGCCAGAGCGGTGGGAGAACTCAACTGCATAAACTAGACCGTCCGGGCCTACGATGTCAGAGACGTGGGAGACAGTGGTGCCTGATGCAGCCCCAAGGTAGAGCACCTTGGCCCCTGGCTTGATATGGATCTGGTCTACGCCACCCAGGATTGCTGCTGCCAGTTTCCCTAAACTAGGAAATGAGATTGCCTGGTTTTAATGAGGTTAAGTGGAAATGGGTTGGCGTCTAGGGTAGAACCCATGCATGAGAGGCACTATGGGAACACTGGTCTTCTTGCCACGTGTCCAGTCCACACGTCACTTGGCTCTCTGACTCACTTCTCTCTGTGTTCTGTCCCCTTACCCAGCAGAGCCTGATCATTACCCCATCTCTCCCAGGCTCCCTCCTGATTAGCTTTCCACTCCCTCTGTTCCTTCTATTTCCAGTGCTGCTGCCCAAGCTCAGGGAACTAACCCTGGTCTCTCCACCTCCACCACCTCAAGCACTTTGAAAGTTCTATCCCATAGAAAGCCATCAATCAACTCCACCCTCAGTCCTGTTACCACTTTGATCGCATACTGTTCTGCTATCCAGTAACCATCCCCTCTTCTGATGACAGCACTTCAATGTCCTTTTGGAGAGATGCACCTCTCCCACTCTTTCCTGTGGTGTTCAGGGGGCTCTGACACTGCCCCAAACTCTAGGAGTGAGCCATGGCCCAGGCCTGGTTGGCTAAACCCCCCGACCCCTGACTACAGTGACTGGTTCAGAGATGGGCACATGACCCAAGACATACCAATGGGACTCAGTTCTGACACTTCTGTTGCTGCTGCTGGAACACTGTTTTGTTTTGTTTTGTTTTGGCTAGTGAAGTTTCTAGAAGTATCAAGATATAAGTCTGAATCTGAATAAAGCCAACCTGGAGGAAAACAGAGCTGAGAAGTAGGAAAAGCCCCCAGATCCAGCTATTCCCAAAGCTAATATACTTCCTGGACTTCCAAATACCAGAACCAATAAATTCCCTGGATTCTGTTTGAAGGGGGTTTCTGTCCATTTGTAAGTTGTGACTAGTAAGTCAATTGAATGAAATAATTTTCCATCTCTCTGCTTCAGTTTCTTCACCAAGAACAAAAAATTAGGATTCTTTGTCCATTGACTTGAGATGCTGAAACTATAAATTTTTTTTAAAGATTTTATTTATTTGTTTGACAGAGAGAGACACAGCAAGAGAAGGAACACAAGGAGGGGGAGTGGGGGAAGGAGAAGCAGCCTTCCCGCGGAGCAGGGAGCCTGATGCAGGGCTTGATCCGAGGACCCTGGGTTCATGACCTGAGCCAAAGGCAGAAGCTTAACGACTGAGCCACCCAGGCTCCCCTGAAACTATAAAATTAAAACCAAAACAGTTTTGCAAAATTACTTTATCAAAATTCATGTTCTATATACTATATAGATGTGTATAATCCCTATCCTTTTATATATTGACCCAGTCACATCCATATTTCTATAGCCACATATTTCTATATTTACGTATATGGTCAAGTATTTATGTATTAATATAGTCGGTTTCCTTCCTCTTTTGCTCTTTTTTTTCCCTCCTTTGGGCACGAGCTCTGTGCCCAGCACTGTGTTAGCCTTATCCAGATGAGTAAGCATGATTCTGTGCACAAGGAGCCTTCTCTGGTGTAGAAATACAGATGAGAAATCAGCTCTTACTACAGGGTGGGCTGGGGGCTGTGATGGAGCAGGCTGGAGGGCAGGTGTCTGAACTCTGCTGGGGTGATGGTGGAGGAAGGGAAGGCCAGGCTGTTTAGAGGAGAAGCTTTTTTTTTTTAAAGGTTGAGGAAGTGAAATCCAGTTAGTAGGAACAGCATGTGCTAAAGCAAGGCAGGACTGAAACCAGAGCAAATCGCTCAAGGCAACTGGAGTCACCACCTGGGTTCCAGCACTTACCATGTGACCCCCCTGCCAGCAGCGTCCCCAGGCCCACTTCCCGAGCCACAAAAAGACCAGCGGATTTGCTTTAACAGTTCACGGTTATCTAAATGATACTCTACTTGCAACATCAGATTCTGAAAGTTCTCCGCCCCCCCGCCCCTGCAAAGGCATAAATTCACCACAACATAGCCTAGGAATCTGCCTGACACTTAGAGGCTTCACAAATATTTGTTGATGATGAAGCTTCTATGAATATGTTCGGAAAATTGTTCTAAAATTAAATTTCATTAAAATTCCTACCTCGCAGCTAAGAACTCCTTTCTAGTCATCCTACCTTTCTTTTTTACCTGAAATGTACACATCTGTGAGATTTTAAAGGGGTCACGGAGAGTTATTCAGGTCTTAAACTCCTCTGCTGAATATCTCATAATTACAACAGATGAACAATGTTAGATAAAATAAGAAGGAAAAGGAAGAAATCTCATACGGACTTATCATTAGTGTGTGCTAGGGATGTTGTTATTATTTTTAAAGATCTTACTTTTTAAAATTTTTTTTTAAAGTTCAATATTACTAGTGTTTATTTTATTTTATTTTTTAAAGATTTTATTTATTTACTTGACAGAGACACAGCGAGAAAGGGAACATAAGCAGGGAGAGTGGAAAAGAGAGAAGCAGGCTTCCCGCTGAGCAGGGAGCAGGATGCGGGGCTCGACCCCAGGACCCTGGGACCATGACCCCAGCCGAAGGCAGACGCTTAACGACTGAGCCACCTAGGTGCCCCTGATTTTACTTTTTTAAAAGTAATCTCTATACCCAGTGAGGGGCTGGAACTCAACCCTGAGGTGGAGAGTCACACGCTCCACCGACTGAGCCAGCCAGGCACCCCTATGTATGTTATTAAATTAATAAATTAAATTAAATAATAAATAATAATTTCCCAGAGATGGAGAGAGGTGCTCCTGGATTTGCAGACAGAGAACCAGACGGGGCTCAGGGACTCAGCTGGGAAGGGGCAGGGCTTGATTTTAAACTCTGATCTTCCTCCAGAGCTCCTTTCTCTAAACCTTCGGAAGTAAAATTTCACTCAAATTCTCCAACTAGGCACTTACAAATAGGCTCAGCATTTGGCTCTGATCACCTTTATTCACTGTTTGTTCTGTTTATTCACTCCCCAAAGTTGATGTGTACCCTGGGGTATAGACTTTAGCTTTCTCAGATACCCTCCACTGCTTCTTTCCTCCTCTCTTGTTTGACATCTCCCCTGTGGTGGATCACCTCTTCTCTTGTGCATTTAGATGTGACATCATGTCATAGGCTGTGGGAACTAGGGACCTGGCTTTCTGAGCAGCCACCAAGGAGCCAGATGAGGCACTGGGAAGCGCATGGGGAAGGCTTCTAGGGACAGCATCAATTTTAAGAAGTTTGCAAGGTTTTTCTTAAGGCTTATATATGATTTGCCCTGTGAAGCGAAAGCCTCGATTGGAGACTGTGCAAAGTATGCCCCAAGTGGGAAACACATTCTCTAAGTTTCTGTGCCACTGTGAGGGCATTGGCCTTGTGACAGGGAAAAGCTTCACCTCATCCAGAAAACATACACACAATAACAGGAACATATTGACAACCCATATGGATGGGGTTTGGGAATATAGGTGAGGTTCAGTGGAGTGAGGTCCGGAGCCAACGGCCAAGAAGGAATTCTTGAGATGTCTTTGGTGCACAAAAGTGGTTTTATTAAAGCACAGGGACAAGACCCGTGGGCAGAAAGAGCTGCTGCCCTGGAGTTGTGAGGGGTGGCTGATTATATACTTGGGAGTTGGGGGAGGTAAGGAAAGAGGAGGTTTTCAGAAGGATTTTCATGTGTTAAAGAAGACTCCTAGGATCCCGGAGGCCTGGCCATTGTCAAGTTAAGGTTGTTTTTCTTCCTAACAAGACATTGACATGCAGATAGTTGGGAGCTTCCTGGAGGAACATTACACTCTGCCCGCTTCAAGTATCTGTCAATGGGCTGCAGGTTATAAGGGCATTTAGTTGTATCTACATTTCCTTCTGGAAGCTAGGTTATTGATAGAAATGTTTTGTTCTTGTAGATTGCTAAGACATTTGCAAACTGAGGGAGACTCATGTCTTGCAGGGTTGTAATCTCTATAAGTGAACTATTTGTTTTTCCTTTCCTTAGCCTGAGGAATGTCACATATATCCCATGGGGGTGGGTTGTGGGGTTTCAGCTTCTGCTTTGTCCTCAGCTTGCCTTCTGTTCCCTCATCACATACTAGGTGGCAATGGAATGAAGTCCAGCTATGGGTGTTCAAAGGTCCAGAGGGAGGTCCCAAGGCCTCTGGAGATGAAACTAGTTTTTCCAGGATTATGGATCTGACAGGTCAGACGTTGCTGATAGACTGTTTTTGCAATTTTACAGCTGGCTCCCACCGATGACTATTCATAATTCAAGTCCTTTGAAATGCATTACGGTTGGTGAAGGAATGCAAAAACTAAAAAATAAGGTTTGTCAGGGAACTGGGAGGAACCAAGCAACCATCTTGGGATTCCCATTGCCCTAAGTGTTCGTTTCATTTATAAGCATTTTTTACCCATCTTAATTTCTCAGATTTAGGAGCAGGCTCTTGTCATGTTACCAGGACAGCAGGATGGCAAAAGTCTGGCAATGAGGGGACATTTTTTGCAGAAGCAGAATGGACTTCATCCACATGTACCACCATCTTTAAGGATTTCGTTGTTGCTGCCTTTGTATAAAAGTCAGCTGGGACATTTTCTGGATTCTCAGGTTCAGTTCATTTAGCGTGAGCCTCAATTTTGATGACAGCAATTTCAGAAGCTAAGCGAGGAGTAATTTCAAGTGATGACTCTGTACCAGGACATATCAGATTTCTAGGAATTTCACATAATTTCTGGAGCACTTCTACACTATACAATCACAATGGAAAGAAAACATAGAACCTTTGTTTTTTAGGCAGATCCCTTAAAAGGTACAGAAAGTCTCACAATCTGTTATCAGAAGTAGATCAAAAGTCCAAAAAAGAAAAAAAAAACTTTGTCCTTTTAATAGAGAGAAAGCCAAATTCTAATTTTGTGCTACCTTACTTTTGATAGTAAAATGTATTCATTCCACTCTTAGTCCTGACCACGCATAAAATTCTTTTTCAAAGATTCATTTTTCAGAAACTTTCTACAACTTTTTTTTTCCTCAAAAAAATTGCATCCCCATCCCTCATACCTTCTTTTACTGGAAGCACACC